TATGAAAGGCATGGTCTTCATCTTCACCATACCAACTCAGCTTCTCCTTCCCATCCACTTTCTTCACACCTTTATAATATCCAATCCCTCTGTACTTCATCAAGTCCCTACCGGCCACACTCACAAGCAATCTCCGGCATCCAAGACCGGCCAAGCTCGGTGCTCCGGGACCAATAGGATTAATCAACGGGCTATCCATGCCGCCACTTGCCGTCGGATACAAGAATTCCCAGAGCCTATACGGCAGCTTCTTCTCGTGCTCATTACCATTTTCTTCTCCAATCGGCTTCGAACCCCAGAAATAAGGGTGCGTAAGAAAACCTCCTAAAATTTTAACACCACCCGGCAATTCTTCTGACCCTGCTCGCATCAGTATATTATGAGCAAGGTTGGCTCCTGCACTGTCACCGCCGATGAACACTCGATCGAAGTTGCCGTGGTTTGAAATCCAAGGCTCTGTTTTGGTGCCGGCAGAGTGCGAAGCGACCCACCGGAGAGCAGCCCAGCCGTCTTCATAAGCAATAGGGAGAGGATGCTCAGGAGCCAACCTGTAGTCTATTGATACGGCAAGAACTCTGCCATGAGAGACCAAGCGGTTCATGTAGTTGGTTTCGGAAAAGGAGAAGGGGGAATCGAAGCTGAAGCCCCCGCCATGGTAGTAGACCAAGATGGAGAGCTTTTGATGTGGTTGAATGGATTTTGGAAGGTAGATACGAGCGGAGATGGGAGGAGATTGGGAGATGGCTATGTCTTTAGACGAAACTCCGGTTTCTGGATCTTCGAGAGAATGTGGGACAATAGGAGACTGTAATAATCGGTCAACGGAGCCATTTTTGTATACGATGAGATAAGGGAGAAGCTCTGTGACTACCTCCTTGTCATCGACAGAGCCCATCAGGGCAAAAGTTTCAGAGATAAATGTACAGATAAAATTACATGCATGCTGTTTAAAGGCTAAATTTATACAAGTTCAAATTAAGGTGGGGGCAGCACAAAATGGTGGATACCTTCGAGTCTAGACATGTTCCAATTACATTTATTTCACAAGCAAATTATTTTTCTTGAGTTGTCCTTTTCTTTTCCCAAATAATTTTGATTTTAGGGGGTATTTTATTTCTTTTGTGGGGAAATAATAGCTTTACTCTTTTTTATGTTTTTAATTGGAAACTTACTTTTTTGCTAATAATCACTTTAAAACTTTCTTCTTCTTTTTTTTCCCCCCCTTAAAATGGAGTGTATTATTACTTGATTTTGCACTATAACCTATTTTTTCTACTCTTACTCGTCATGTAGCCTTTTTTTTTTTTTTTTTCTCTCCCAAGTCTTTTAACTATATTTAGGATCCAAAGCAATTAAATATCTTTTGTAACAAAAACACTAATAATAATTTAAAAATTATTTACAAAAATTTCTAAAAATAATCTCTAAATTTTAACTTCTCACAACCTAAGAGGATGCGGTAATAACAAAATTTACAAAAAATATATTTTTAAAACAAATTAAAAGAGGATCACCATTATTCCATTAATTATTTAGCCTGATAAATGATTTAGGTGGCAAGCTCAAGGACGAACAATAACAAGGCCACTCGAGCCCACAAGTGAAAAAAAAAAGAAAGTTGATTGCATTGCTCTGGTAAGAGCACATGTTTCTCATGGAGTGTATATATGAATGTGTATATATATTAGGTTAAAACAAGTTTTGGTGAGTTGTATAAGAGATATACATCTACCTTATTTGCTTGAGGTATAAGGACCTCTTTTTTCTTTTCTTTTCTTTTTTCATTTGAAGCATACTGAACTAAAAATATAAAAATTCTATTAGGGTTTCTTCACCGAGACATTATTTTCTCTTTATTGTTCTTGGATCTTTTTTGTATTTTTGTATTTTTTTATATTTCTTTTACAGATCTTAGTAAATCAAGTTCACAACAATATTGCAATATTTTTTTGCATGGCATCATAAGGAAGGATGGATAACGAGTACTCAACTTCTCACCAAAATTTATTGTCTTATAGTGGAATCATTCTAGATCTTTATAATCTGAGTAGTCCTTATTATATTAGTGCAAATGAGAGATCTGATGAACTGTTTGTTACTCAGCTACTAGAGGTGAGCAACTACCATACATGGGTGAGATTCATGAAATATGCATTACAAATAAAAAACAAACTGAGGTTTGTAGATGAAAGCCTAAAAAAACCAACGAATCTAATAAATCCGCTCATGGAACACTAGTTACGACGTAATACTATTGTCATCAACTAGCCTTAAAATGTATTATCTGCTGACATTATGTGCAACACCTTTTTTTTATGTAGACACTGTGTATTTTTTGTGATAGATTTGGAGTAGAGGCATGCACTGTTGATCCACTAATAATCTATGAGGTGAAGCAACCCATTGCGAAACTCATGAAAAACCAAGATCCTTTAAGTGTCTATTTCTCAAGGCTTAAAGCATTGTTTTACAATTTGATGAACTATTAGTCTATTCAAAATGGTTATTGTGGATAATTTAAAACCATAGTTGAATACCAATAGAGAGATTACATCATAAAGTTCCTCATGAGTTTACATGAATTATAAAATCTCATCAAAGTTCATATACCATTACTAAAGCCTTTTTGTAATTTGAATGAAGTGTACTCGATCATCCAACAACAAACCAAAATTCAAAGAAAAATGACTGTTTAACTTGTAAAGCTTTGACAAGGACTAGCAAATCGCGTTTAACAATAATATCTTGGCTACCCATCCCAAAAACTATTTCCAATCCAAACATTAATGCGAAACACTCTGCAAGCTCTATATATTAGGAAGCATACACCTTGCAAAAAGAACCTTCCCAACCCATCCTTTACTAATAACCTTTATACCCATCCACTCTCTTCTCCCTAGTGTCGCATCAAAATAGAGTCTATATGTGCTAGAAAGTGGTGTAATTCACCTCAACAATCTCATCCCTTTGGCTTTAACCCAGGGCCACATTTCTTTTCCCCATTAAAATAAGCTCCAAAAAAAATAGTATATAGTTATTTATTAATAGGTGAGAATCCATCCATTTTGAAAAACCAACATATTTATACTCCATTAAATATCACTTAATAAAAATATAAAGAAAAACCTAATAATCCACCGGCAGACTAGAAAGCCCTTGAGAAAGCCACATATGGAAAGATAACAGGGAAGAAAAATCACCACGAATAGGACTAGACCTCCAAGCTTAAAAGTGTATTTAGATTTCCTGAGCAAATGATCCATAGTCTCCTTGACTTCACTATACATAAAGCACATAATATCACAAAAAAAACTTTTTTGCACTAATCTACTACGGACAAAAAGGATATTATTATAAACCCACAATATCATGTGTTTCACTTTTGGCAAACTAGGAGCATGCCAAAGTTTCTTCCATGGGAAAGATTGCGAGCCTGAAGATGTGCCCACAATCTGCCCACACCTAGAGAATCATGCCACATAATATTCATATTTAACCATGTAGCTATTCAATCTCGAATGACCCCAAATTAGCTTATCTGGTGGTAACTTTTTGCTTAGAAGTATAGTAAGAATCCTTTCAAGTTCACTAGTCATAAAAAGATAATGGATGAGTGGGGCACTCATTCACTAATGAAGAATCCATAAATGATGTCAAAGAAGATAGTTTTAAGGTCAATATCTTTTTATTCTCATTACTTGGTAACCAGTTCTCTTCTTAGATGGTAACATTTTTCTTAGAAGTATACTAAGAATTCTTTCAACTTCACTATGCATAAAAAGAGAATGGATGAGTGGGGCACTCATTCAGTAATGAAGAAACCATAAATGACATCAAAGAAGCTAGTCTTGAGGTTAATATCTTGTTATTCCCATTACTTGGCAACTAGTTTCTCTTCTTAAATATAAACGAATTATCCAGTACCAACTTCCCATTTTAGACCCTTAGCCAAGAAGTTCCTCTCTACTAGGATATTTTCCATATATAACTAGGTCTTGAACCTATTTACCCATATATTGAATTCCCATCTCTAAAACATC